AAATCTCCAGAATGATAACTGCATGAATTTTTGACACCTTGCCAATCTGGACGCAAATAAGTATTAGGCTTTAGAGGAATAGGTGTTAGAAGGTCACTTTCAAAGAGAAATGGTAACAATTCTGAATATGACCCTTAAATCGGAATGAGAGGTATCCTCTTCTTTTTATTCTTGTTCTTTCTAGCCTTCTTTACTGGCATTTGAACTTCCTCTATGCCTCTCTTCTTTGAGTCAGACTCTTTCATGTTAAAAGTTTCACCCTCAATCTTCATTTTTCCTAGTTTGATCTCTGTTACATTTTCTAGAATCACACCCGATTGTCGGAATTGACTCGGATTACCATATTCCTCAGCATGTCCTTGATTATTTGCTGTCATCATATTGGCCACACAATCAACATTCAAAGTCTCTTTGAAAGCCTCTATAACAAGATCCTCTGGTGGTTTCTCTCCATGAATCAAGACATTCATCATTTGTATCATTTTAAACATTTGCTCCCTTGACTCATCCTGAAGTTTCTTTGCTTGACCATTCATTTCTTTTTGAATCTTGACAAGTTGCTCTTGGAGTTTCTCGATTCTATTAACACGTGCTGAAATCTCATTCATGTCTCTTATCTTTTCGTAGGAAGACCAAGTTGACTCCAATTTTTAATTTTTGCCATGAAATACTCTATAAATTACTCCCAAACTTTTATGTGTGGAAAAAAATTTTGAAATGAATAAAATGTGAATATGTACTATAAAAATGCTTAAATGAATGGCATGCAAAATGTAATGATGCAAATGCAACGAAGGTGTTGATTCCAAAGTAATTGTCATAAAACAACTTCCAAAGAATATATAATGTCTCAATACACTGAGGTAGATGGAAACTACAAATCACGTCGTATTTCTCGACTTCTTCAATTTTGATCGAATATGCAGGAAAGAATCTTCTTTTATCCTTGGCTTGATGAAAAAATTCCAATGTTTTGACTTCTTTTCCAAAAATGCATTTGTTGAGCGACCATATACGATTGACATCATCTACTGTCTCATGTTGGCTATCATTGTTACTTGATAACTTTAAACATATTATTTCTTTTCGGTTAGTTGTATCAACATCATCGTAAAACCCTTGAAAACTTGTTTTATTACATCATTTGAGCTTCATGTATTTCAGCTTGACATACCTCTTCAACTATTTCTTGGAGCACACTTCTGGACCATTGATGTGTTTTTGCATTTCTATTCTACCTCTTCAATTGACATTGTCGTATTGAAAGCCTTCTAATGCGACTATTAACTCGGGGATCAATACCTTCTATGACATGATATGTATGAAACATGTGTTAATTTCAAGGTAATTATCTTAGAACAACTTTCAAAGAACTCACAACGTCCCAACATGTTAAAGCAGATAAAATATTTATCCCTTCGTGTGACATTAACGTTTCAAAAACCTTCTAATTTTGATAAATATCTCGGGTATTAACAACATGTTTATGCACAAAATAAAGCAACAAGATAAGGAAAAGATGTTAGTAAAAATAATAATCAAAAATAGGAAATGTGTGTTAGTGAAATATGAAAAGATTAAATTCCACTGGTACATGAACCATAAAATACAGTGAATAAAACACATAGAGAAAATTAAAACCGTAACCGCATAATTTCTAGTTCACATGCAATTATTTAAAAAGGATCAATCAAATAAATTAAAAGACAAAGATTAGAGTTCAATTCTCCTTTGTGTACACTTATATGGGTACCTATGGACAGAGTTTCAGTACGGTCTTAGATCGGGTGGGTTTCTACAATTGACTATATGCAGAGTTTCGGTTCTAGGAATAAAGGTACTCGAATTTTCCTTGTCGGTGCCCCATTGGGCGAGCCAGACCCTCAATCCTCACCCCTTATAGGCTTAAACGAATCGAGTTCAATTCGAGGGGGCACATTTTCCTATGCCTGACACTGAGAATAAATCCTCACGAAGACATAGGACATATGAACCCCAAAAGCTACTTGCTAGGTCTAACACAAAGAATAAATTCTCACGAAGACATCGCTTTCACTCCCACTTAAAAAGGAAGAGCTTGGGTATAAAGCTTATGTTATTCAATGCAAGTGTCGTGTGTGAGGAGAAATTATCAAACCTTTGACAAACAACCACACAAAAATGAATTAAAGAGAATCTGAGACTTTAACATCTGAAAATCAATCAAATACACACATTAGTATACAAAATATAAAATTAAATAATGATTGAAAGGAATCAAAGGAATCGTAAATTAAATAAAACCGACTTCTCAATTTCTAACAACGGAGACAATATATAATCGATTTATGGCTTGACCCTCTAGTCCCCAGCGGAGTCGCCAAGCTGTCGTAACCGATTTCCGGTGATACGACATGTCTCTACTCATTTTGTGAAAACTCGATTTTGTAAAAGAATTGTTTTGGAGTCGCCATCAACCTTTTGGATTAGGTAGGTCAAATACCTAAAATTTTATTTTAAAAAGAGTTTTTAAGAAAAACGTCATTTTAAAAGATACACCGATCAACGTGTAACCAGAAATTCATTTTTTTAGTATGAAAAAGGGTTCGGGGGTCGATTACGTGTGGGGAAGGATAAACACCCCCACAACGCCCAAAATTGGTATCCATCAATTACATATTGTCTCTAAATAGTAGAAATCTAAGAGTTTGAATACATATTTAAATTATGATTCCATTATTCCGAATCCAACCATACAAAAATTCTAAAGAAAAATATAAAATATTCTCTTATTTCCAATTGAAAAAAAATACTCCCTAAAATACTTTAGGATGAATATTTCTCTTTCCAACTGAAATAAAATTAATATAATAATTTTACCTAAGAATTCAATATTAAAATAATTTTTATTCAACCAAAGAAAGAAATTAAATTCATTAATCTAAATTATATTATTAGAAAAGATAATTGATATTCAATAATTTAAAAATGCTGAGACTTAATCTCTAATAAAATTAGCAAATTGTCTCGATAAGTTTAAAATAGTGAATATTTCTTCTTCCCTTCAAAATTAATTAATTTTCAATGCAATCAATTTTTTAGGTTTCTATAGTGGGAATATTTATTTATTTTAAAATATCGGAAAATGACATCTAGTTGTCTTAAGAATGTCCCTTCTTAATAAAAATACATAAATACTACCCTTAATCCAATTATGTAATCGGTTAAGTTATGCTAATGAGGCTTTTAAACAAAATAAAATATGATACATTGAAGCACTTAAAGAAAACAAATAAACACATGGATTAAAAGAACCATTTTAAATTTATTTTGAACTTTATATTGCTTTATAAATATATACATATTTTCTAAATATTATATTAAACATAGAACATGATATTTATTCTAAAATATAATAAAAATATGAAATAAAATATTTCTATCATGCTATAATATTATATACAAAGTACTATATAATAATAATACAAACAATATAAATATATAAAACATAAAGCATACTTTAATGGTAAAATAAATAATATACATATGAATCTACTTACTATATGGTGACAAAAATAAATATATAATAATCTTAGGATATTAAACATTAATAAACAAAAATCATGGCATGAAACAAGAACATAACAAAAACAGAAGCACTGTAATCATAATAAAACCATAACTATAGGACTAAAATGGAATATCATAAATATCATCACCAAATTTCGAACAAAAAAAACATACAACAGAGGACTAAATTAAAATAATACAAAACCATGCATCTAATTCGTAAATATTAGAAAATAAAAGGAAATGGTGACTAAATCACAAAACACGCTAAAATGTAAGGGACCTATGTCGTGATTTACGCTAAAGAGTTTCTAAATCACGAATCACATTAAATGTAAAGGACCAGTATGATAGTTTAACCTAAAACTAGTGGCCAAATAAAACATGCTAAAGGTCCAGGGACCTTTAACGTGGTTTACCCAAAAATATTAAGCTATCAACTCTTCTTACGCTTTCCAGAATCATATTTGCCGTGGTTTTCAAAACCCAAACTATCTCTCTTTTCTTCCTCCCTCAACCCACGGTAGTCACTCAACAAATAAATCAAAGAGAGCCACCACATACGGCGGCGCTACTACCCAAACTATATTAACCCGACTCTAATCGCTTCGTCTACGACCTTATTCAACGAGGAACACAATAAATCCCAGGTAAAATATTATTCTTAACATATTTTCTTTCCCAAAAAAAAATATTTAAGCTTCGTTTTAGTTTTTATTATCTTTTTAAAACGAAAAGGAGAAGAAAAAAATACCTTAAGAAAAGGCTCTTGTATTTGTGATGGAAAAAAACGAGAGGAAGTCTTTCTTTTTTTCTATCGGTTACATCGCTCGGTTCTTATAATCTATTTACATAGGTTTAAAATAAATAAATAAAAAATAATCCTAAATCTATTGTGGTATTACTGTGTTGATGATGGAGCGTTTTTAATGTTTCAGATATTCCGAGATTTTGTTGAGCAAGTTTAGACCGGCGGTGACGGTTGAATCATGACATCTCTATGGTTAGGATTCGATTAGGGTTCTGTTGGGGTGTGAAAAATGGTGGTTACAAATCGGTATCAGCTTCTCCCAAAGAAACCGGGGCTGCGGTGACACTCCGTCTCAGAAAGCTGAAAGCTAGAAAGTAAATTGCATTAATGGAGAGAAACTGATCGAGTTGTCTTACAGAAGCGCCTCAGGGCAAGGGACTGTGAAGGAAGAAAAGAAACACCACATTTTGTCCCTCTGCGATTCTTCCGAATTTTTGTTAAGTGACTGTAGGGATGTTCAAACGTTCGATTTGAAAACCGTATATTATTAGATCATTGCCAATATTTGTCTGTACGTAGTTGGCGAGGGTAATTGTAGGGCAGAATCTGATATCAAGTACCATGTCGTCATTGATTTGACAACTTTGTCTTAATAAACACAACATACGTTAGTACTGTCCAATGGAAGAATTCCAACCAGTGAAAACCAATTATTAAATTCCATTAAAAAAAACACTCGTACAAAGCATTAACGACACGTCAATCCGAACATAAAAAGCTTACATCACACTAGCATTAACAACACGTCAATCCAAACATAAAAATCTTACATCACACTAACAAATCAAGCAACTCTGCCCTGAACCTTACCTTCAACACTGAAAAATAAACACAGAAATTATTGAAGGGTGGAAACTAGTTTCACATTCATAGAGATCATTCATTCTTTTTTAAGCTTTCTATAAGATCAGAATGAATGTGAAAATGGCACCCTTTTGAAGAAGGGGGAAAAAAAAACTAGACTTCCATCAGAAAGCCTTCATCTTTTTCCAATTGCTCCATCGCACCAGCTTCCAAGGTGATCTCCACGTCAATGCTCCTTCCTCCGCTCTTCCCTTGATACAGATAAACCATCCCGTCGAACCTGTTGTTGGATCCGCTCCTCACGCCTTCCGGTTCTCCCCACCCGAAATCGACATCGTAAACCTTAAACCTCGGCGAGCTCCCGACAGCCACGCAGTTGACACCAGCATCTTTGAACTCGAAAATCTTTGGAGCGGCTTCCCACTCCTTGTTACGTTCCTCGATGGCCTTAGCATCGTGTGCTTCGATGGCTTTCTGTATGACCGATGCACCGAAGTCTAACTGGTTCGCCAGCAATAGCCCGGCAGCCGTGACAGTGAAGATGGCTTGTATGAGATTGCCGAAGTAACTTTCCGGCATTGGAGGGTCAACCCTTTTCCGACAATCTGCAAAGACTGTGAATACTGTGTAGTCTTCGGGTTTAAGGTTGCGTGCTTTGGAGACATGTTGCCAAATGTGGACGGCTAGAGATTGAAAAGTGGAGAATGGTTTGGAGCCTGGGGTTGGCGGGTTGGAGTTGACGTTGGACTTGATCTTGTCGATGGCAGCTTCGGGAAACCTGAAGAGTTTCTCCCTGAGTTGGTGTGCACCGCCATTAGAGGCAGCGATTGGGTTGGGTGGGAGTGAGAGATCCAGTTTCACTCGGGTGTTTCGAGCTTTGGTCCGCTCGAGGAACGGTGGCACGGCAACTGAGTTGGTGGAGCCACTGCAGATTTGAGCCCAGGAGCTCATGAAATGCCAGGTCGAGGTTCCATCCAGGACGGCGTGGTTGAACGCACACCCCATTGCCACTCCATCTTTCAACTTCGTTAACTGTTGGAGTCAGGACAAATAAAAAAAATTAAGTCCAACGGATACACAGTCGTATTTTTAATTGTGATGTGTTTATTATACAGTTAATACTAATATTGTGATCATATAATAATAATTTTAAATTACATCTTTACTGTTTACTGTTATACAGAGACCGCTATTAAAATTTACGAGGGAGATGATTGAAAATTCACGTGGCCTATGGCCGATAATTAACGAAGTAAAGGCCTGGGAATATATGACCGCTTTTCCCGGGGTCCCAGGCCAATAGAACTTCATGCATTTTTGGTAATAAATAAAGGTAATCATACCATTAGGAGGCTCTACTAATTATATTGGTGGCAATTTCGTGCAAAAATTAGACCCGCCAATGGGAAGACGAAGCCTATTTCATCTTCGACATATTATCTTAATAACTAGCAAAAATGTGTAGTACAGTACAAATTAGTCAACCGGAACAAAATTGGTGCGAAACAAAGTATATTAATTTAATGAACCAACATCAATACTTACCTGCACTGACAGTAGAGGCCTGTGTAAGCCCTCCAAGTTGAGGACACCATTGTAGGGTATCAAGTCCTTGAGAGAGCTCGTGCCTTCATCCGCCGCGAGTTCGTCCACAGCGATCTCTTCGGCGACAGCTTCCAACACCTCAACGCCGTCCATATCGTCGTCGTAATCGGCCCGGAAAACCCCTTCTTCGTCTTTTCCGAGCTTGCCTGCCAGCTGATAAAACTCCTCCAAAACCACCCTCATCCCATCCTTGAGTTTCTCCACCTTCTCCTCAAACCCCTCACACTTATAAAACAGCAACTTCTGGTTATAGTAGAATGCCAGATATGGGAGATCAAATGTGACCAATTGACATTCTTTTCTTCCTATGATGTTCCCAGGCTTCACGTGGGTTTTTCCGGTGATTTTCACCTTGGACGTCTCTTCTTCCTTGATCAATGCTCCGGCTGCCATATCCTTGATGATTTGTTACCTTTTTTTTCTTAGAGGAAAGAGAAAAGAAGTGTTTTGAAAGAGGAGATTAGAGTGTGAAGATACTTATAGGAACACCATAGGTGTAGCTGGGGGATTGCACTAATGGGAACGATGAGAGCAGTTGAGGTCCATTAATGTGCTGGCTGAGCCCCCTCTTCTGGTTGTAGATGCAGTAGTTGCGGTTAACAGTGTGTGACTATAAAGGAAGATGTTGCCCTGTAACGGAAATGTTGATTTAGATGCTTATAATCCTGGCCTTTGTCGGTGTTAATTAATTTAAAACAAAATTTACTTGTTTTTTAAGTAGTAGGGATTCATATTTTTTTTTAGGATGGACACATATTCATGTTAAAATTTAATTTTTTTTGATTAATTATTTATTTTAATAATGACGTCTATTCTCATATTTTATTTGTGTATATCTTATTCAAAAAAATTATATTATTAATTTATATATTTATTATAAAAAATATTTTTAAATTCGTCACTATTTTTAAGGATAGGCTTCGATGCCACGGAGTTCCTCTTCGCTGATGAATAGTTACCGGCGAATGTGACCCCTTGCAAAGTATTGATGATTAACACATTTGCAACTATAAATGTTGAAACCAAATCAAGTTAACTTTGCTTTTATAATTGATTTGAAACTTTCCTAAATAAATTAGACTTTCGACAGCATCCACTACCTTCCCATGCCTAATAGACTGATGTATAAATTAAATTAGTCTTTTCTATAATATAATTGTGATAGCTTCACGCGCAAAAAAATTTATGCTAGAGATATAAGTTTTAAAAAATATATATAAAAATTTTAATAGCATAAAATTAATTTATTAATAAAAATACTTAAATTATATGATAATTTAAAATTTTCAGATGTATGTTAATAAACCATCATTATCTTCGGCATTAACCATTATGTTTGAATACCTATCATGGTGTGTTATAGGTGAAGAAAAGATCCAACGGAAACATACAGCTTAATCATTAAGTTTTTACCATAAGCTATTGGTTGCTAGTCATGTAGCGAGCTTCATGCGACCTGACCGGCCAACGGCAACATACAGCTTGATCATTAAGTTTTTACCATAAGCTATTGGTTGCTAGTCATTTAGTAGTTATTCAGCATTAACTTGGGAGTAGCGAGCTTCATGCGACCTGACCGACCAACGGCAACATACAGCTTGATCATTAAGTTTTTACCATAAGCTATTGGTTGCTAGTCATGTAGTAGTTATTCAGCATTAACTTGGGAGTAGCGAGCTTCATGCGACCTGACCGGCCAAACATGTAAAAGATACCTTTGATTAATTGTAAGGAGAGGGATGCAGATGGGCAGGTTGGATTTTAATTAAATAAAGGGTTAACTACATGGATGATCATTTATGTTTGTATTTTCTCCACTTTTGGTCACTGATTTCAAAACACGTAAGATATGACCACCTTCGTTCTTATTTAATTAAGATGTAATCACCACGAGTTAAATACCATTAAATATTTTAGTATAATCGTACATTTGGTCCCTATTATTTACATATTATCTCAATGTAGTTATACTTTTGATAAATTTAATCATCCAATCGAATGATGACATTGTCATTGGTACCACGTGTCGTGTTGTGTGTCACAATTCGGTTGAAAAACTAACTCCATTTTATTTTATTTTAATTTAACAAAGCAAAGCAAATTGGTGGAAAATAAATATATTAAATTAAAATAAAGTTAGTCTTATAACCGAATGATAAAACGTGGCATGACACATGACCCCAATTACATATGACATCATTCGATTGGAGGATTAAATTTATTTTAACTTATTAAATGTATGACTAAATTGAGAGAATATTTTAATAATAAAGACCAAATATGTGATTGTACCAAAATATCACGTCACTTAGTCTATTAACTGTTAACTGCAGTTAACCAGTGGTGACTAAATCTTAAATAAATAAATAAAAAGTGTCCATATCTTAAGTAAATAAAAACAAAGGTGACCATACCTTATATATTTTTGAAATCAGTGACCAAAAGTGGACAAAATACAAACACAAGTGATCATCCATGTAGTTAACTCTTAAATAAATTGATCTCCCATTATCAATGATCCCACACTTAATTGCTAACTTTTTTTAATAGTATGAACGATTACAATGTAGTATCTATTCAAGATTTCTTTTACCTATTGGCAATGCACATACTCTGCAAATACAACTACTTAAACTCAAAACTTTAAGAGATAATAAAATTTTCTTTAATTACTAATATCACTCGATTAATATTTAAGTAAATAGAATCAACTTTCAAGTTAAAACAGATAAAGGGTTTGTATAAACTAAAATAATAATAATAATAATAATAATAATAATAATAATAAATAAATACAGGCTTTATATAACTTTAAAAAAATAAAACGTTCATATATACATAAAAATTTGTCACTGTATCATATCACAAAAAATTGTGAATGGGACATCCCAACTCCATAGAAATTTATTCTTAATTTTTAACTGAAAATGTTTATTATTTATATCGAATCATGTTTAAAAAGTTTATAATATTTTCACTAAATTTACTGTGTTGAGGTCAAATTATTTCGCATAACTTCTTTTACATAATAGTAAAATATAAAGACATGTTTATATTAGGGTAAAACTAAATGAATTTACATTATTTTATATTTTTTCAAAATTAACATTTTAACAACTCAGTTATTAAATTTATTATTATCATTGTATTTATTATATATATAAAATTTTAAAATATTATGATATATTTATCATGTCAATTCAAAATAATATATTTACTAGTACATATTTAATATTAATATTTATGTAAATTAAATAATTATATTTATACAAATAAAATTTAGATAAATATTAGTTTTATTATTCATTAGAATCCCCTTGAGTCAAACGGAAATTCAAACTAGACAGTTCATAAGATGCAGATGCTGTAAATGAGAGTGTTGATGAGCAATGAATAGGGGATGAGGCCAGCTTAAAATTGTTGGCAAATTAAGTTGAGCCTTTGACAACATACCAAAAACAAGCCAGTTTGTTCTTGTGTTTCCATTATTTTCCAATGATTCGTCAAACACAACCATGAAAAATCAAACAAATAAATAGAGACTTTAGGGCTAATAAATCAAATACGTATTTATTAAATAATCAGCGGGGATAGCATCCAACATTTCAATGATTATTACTATTTAAATGTGGACACAAAATATTTCAAACGAAACATAAAAAACAAAGTCTTGATTCTTTCTTCAATCTTTTTTGTTACGATTGGAGAAGATGAAGGGTGTATCGACGGCATGCAATTGAAGAAAGAGGAACATGGGTTAGGATTGAGAATGGAAAATTGGGAATTGGAAGCATGGAAAGATGGAAATCAGAATTGGGAACACGTGAGATGCACGAGCCAATTAAGGATTCAAACCCTGATGAGACACCGACCTAGTATGCAGAAGCCCAACGCAGCTGTTAAGGACATTATATTTGTTATTACGGATTGCGGGTGGCAATTTGCTAGATTCTCCAGTACAATGTAAACAACTAAAATGTAGTTGGAATGAGCTCATTTCTCAAGTATGAATTGAATGTTTTCTTTTCCCTAATTCTTTCTACTTCTATATTCTCTCGTCTTTATTCTTCTCCTTCAACCCCGTCCATAACAAATTGGTATCAGGAGTCATCAATCCTGACACTTTAACCTCTGGGTATGCCAAAGAAGACTCAAACAATGGCTGAAAATGCATATTTATCTGCTCTTCACAAGTAAATGGAAGAACTCACGGGTCAAGCAATATGCAGATGATACAAGTCCTCCAAAATGGTAGGAGCAATAAGAAAAATTAATATCAATCTTGGAGTCCAGGATGCCCACGAACCAAGGATATGTGAAGCAGATCTTGAGGATATTAACGGGTCGTAGTGAAGAGCAGGAGGCTATCAGCTCAGACAATGATCAGGTGCACAACTCTAATAATCATAAGCCTACTGGGAAACAACCTACAATTGTTACAGCTATCAATGAAAAAAATAGGTTTTCCTATAAACCTAATGAACCAAGAATACTTAAATCCAAGCCTAATGAACACCATTCTCACTAACCACTTACTGGTATTGAAAATCAAATAGGGAAAATAGAAATTTCAAACCTCATTTTGACAGTTATATGGAAGAAATGTGGGGTCTTGACTCAAGTTCCCACTTACATTTTCCTAGGTTGAAAGTGGAGTTACCTACCTTTGATGGTAGCAATCCTAGGGCCTGGTTGCAAAAGTGTCAAAAAAAATCCCTCTATGGAGTTCCTGGTGAGCAGAGAGTCGAATTTGCTACCATGCACTTGGTTGGGAGAGCAGAATCGTGGTTTGATGCTTATATTTTACAGAAACATAGAGTGCATTGGAATGAATTTGAGGTAATCCTGAGTCATCATTTCAATGTTAGGTCCTTTTCAAACATAGTCGAGGAATTCACTAAGTTAGTGTAGCAAGGATTTGTGTATAATTACCAGGATAAATTTGAAGAGTTGTAGTTCCACATGTTACTTCAAAATCTTACTTTGTCTGAGGAGGTTTTTTGTGACACTGTTTATCAGTGGTTTGCGTGATGATTTAAAACATCAAGTGAAGACTTTAAATCCAAAAACTCTACAGGAAGCAAGCATACAAGTAAAACTGTAAGAATTATCAATAGAATTTGAGGCTAGGAGGCAAAGATCATTTCCAAGAAATACCTCTTATCCTAGTCAGGCACCAGTTAATAAACCACAACCTTCCACACTACAACAGCCAAAACCAGCAGTTCCTCCTTTGAGATCAAACCTTCTAGAGTAAAGGCAAAAGAACAATTTGTGTTTTAGATGTGGGGATAAATTTGTTCCTGGCTATCAATGTAAACAGAGACAGTTAAACATGATTGCAAATTCAAGGTAGTAAACAGGGGAAACCTTCAAGTATCCTTATTGAAGTGGGAGTGCTCACAGCTGACAGGTGTTGTTTTACTTTCAAAATAATTTCGACTTCTTAATAATAAATAA